ATTTTACCCCCCTCTTCTCTTATTGCTTCACCACCACCACCACCCTTTTTTCTTTTTCATTTTTTAAAAAAGATTCATCTGTTAAAGCAGTCTCCTGTCAACGTCTTGGAATGTGGGTTCTGGCTGCGCCTGACCACAAAGCTCTTTGATGTTTTTTTTTTTTCCCAAGCCTTCTCACTGTAGCTGCTTTTCCCAGCATTCCGAGGCCAATAAGGTGAATTTGTCATGCATCCTTGACATGAAGTGTTCGTGGAACCTGCTGTTTTCTTCTGTCCTCAAGGATTTTAGTTGCTCGAATCTACCTGTAGTAGTTGATGCTTTTACCAGAAACTCCGTCTATATTCAAGACAAGGCTGAGAGCTGCTGTGCCTGAAAGATGCACTAGAAACTTGAGAAGCTGCGCCCCCTTCCCAGGGAGATTTCCACAAGGATAAGGTTGCGCTCAGAGGCTCATCCTCTCTTCCTTCCGTCATGGTATCAGGATTCTACCTTAATCACTCCATCATCCTGCCAGCCATGTCTCATTTCTCATACTGAAATGCTCCCTTCCAAGCGCAGCGTGAACCACCAGTCTTGATGCTTTATCTGGTCCCAGGCTAGCGCTAGCCCTTAAATTGTCCGTCTGGCTTTGTGTTTCATTTGACCCTAATACACTGGGTCGTTCTGTCTAAAAGAGAATTATGCCCCCTCCAATGTCTGAGTGCATTTCTCATTTCTTACTGCTGCTCCTGAGCAGATCTGTAACTTCAAGGTTAAGATAAGACACATTCCATCAGAACTATGTCGTCATCCTTGCCAGCTTCTGATCTGTGACTGTCCGGGAGATTTACAAGACAATTGCATGCCATTCTTTACAGAATATTATGGTTGGACTCTGACTTCTGGCATCAGGCCCAGTTTGATTTGTCAGCTGTTCTAAAACCCATTTCCAAAAAAGAAGGGACCTCGGCCCATGTGCCCTTTAGGTACTTCTTAAGGATGAAAGGGAAGGAATGGCTCTGGCTCCCTATTTCCTGACGTGTAATTTTTGACATGGACACCGAATAATTTCGTATATTCACTTGCTAAATTTACCCCTTTTTGGTGAAAGTTTTCCCAGGATTTTAAATGTTGCTGCCCTTCTTTTCTGTCCTGATCCCTGTGTAGAATTGCTATCTGCCATAGGTTATACGTTGGGCTGTTAGCCCAAGTAAATCATCAGTTTGAACCCACCAACCACTCCAGGGGGAAAAGACAAGGCTTTCTGCTTCCTTACTGATTTACAGCCTTGGCAACCCTTAGGGGCAGTCCTACCCTGCCCTAAGAGGATCCCTATGAATTGGAATTAACTCACTGGCAGTGAGTTTGGTTTCTTGTTTAGTTTAGTCCTTTAATTCTGCACTGCTCAGAAGAGTTTTAAGGAATATGAGTAAGTATTTTACTCAGGAGGAACATACCAACCCTCTTTCTTTTTTTTTTTTTTACCAACCCTCTTTTCAAAAGGTTTATTAGTTTCCGGTGTCTAATTAACAAAATTACCCCTCCTCTCTTGCTATTTACTATACTAACATGTTGAACTGCAGGAGTTACTTTACCCTATAGCATGGGATACAGTTTTCACAGCTTAGGAATTTGGAGGGTCACATGATTCCTGCTCCTGTTATAGTCAGCCTTTGCATATTTTTAAAAAAGCTTCTCTTAGGGGGACATAACAGCTCTCTGGTTTCAGCATAAACTCGCTCTCTTTCCCTAGGAGGGAGGCAATTGGGATTTATTTGGCATGTTTTAATGATGCAGAATTAGATGTGAAATTTATTTACACGAGCTCACCCATGGCAAGTTAATCACACAATCAGGACCCCGAGCTAACTCCTTTGGCATTGTTCTCATATCCCTAGCTGAGAAAAGTTAAAAAGAGAAAGAAGAGACCAAAAGGACCGATAGCTTGATAGCGGCATTCAAATTTGAGAAAATCCCCTATGACTGATTTTTTTAAAAACTTTGCTCTCATGTCCTAGTTTCCTCTTCACTGCAAAAATAATCATCTGTCTCCGCTCTTCCCTTAGTTGGACTCTCTACTTCTGCTGGTCTTTTCCCCCTCATTTTCCTTCTCAGATCTGTGGCTATTAAACAGATTTGGGGATGCCCTTAAGTGTACTGTAGAGCCCAGACAAAGGAAAGTTACATAACTTCAGTCAATAAGTATCTCTCTCTATCTCAGCCCTCAAGTATTAAAGATTTTTGTGATAGGGAGTTGTTTATTAGTATTAAAAGGGGCTTTTAAACGTACATGTAAAGATGGAGTTAACAGATAATGGAATTTTTTCAAGAGCATTTTGAAGCCCTCTCATATCCAAACCCAAACCAAACTTACTGCCATCCAGTCGGTGCCAAATCCTCCGGAGCCTGTAGGTCTGAGTAGTACTGCCTGCCCCCGTGAGCTTCCAAGACCCTTAACTCCTCATGGAAGTAAAAGGCACTGTCACGTCCCGCGAGCCTCTGGCTGGTCTCGCCACTACTTTTGGTAAGCCTCCGGAATATCAGGTAGGTGATAATTAACAAATGTTTGACATTATTACAAAGACAAGTAATGAGAAAGGGGACAAATACAACAGTAAGGATTTTGGCTGCACTGCCCAGTCCTCCTCCTCCCCCCGCCCCCCAGTTACAATTTCGATTGAAAAATAGATGTTTTGGTAGTACTTCAAATCTATTTCTCAATAGAAATAAAAGCGTATCTCTTAGAAATCCCACTCATCTTTTTCCTGTAATTCTTCCCCCCCCCCCCAGCAATTTTAATTAACTTCAGCGACAGATGGCACAAAGGACCTTGTCTAAAGTGCTTCTGGTGGGCTGGCTTAGGGGGTGGAGGTTTGTACTGATTCTAATGTAGAAGAACTATTTTCCCCTCCCCCTTCAGTTGAGCTATAATCCTGTTAGATGGTCTTAAAATGCTATTGATTAATTCTCAATGCTCTTGGAGAAATAGGCACAAGGTTCACATTTAAAACCTAAGAAGCCATTTTCTTGGGCCCTGAGTGCCATAGCTTTGAGACCAAGAAAGGTACCTTCCAATTTCTCCACCCAGTCTTGACTGAAAAGGAAAGTTGTGCTTTTTAACTTTTCCGTTTGCCTCTGCGCTTGCGGCGGCCTTCCTGGGGCCCCCCCATACGGCTGGCAGTTGCCATGGCAACGGACTGGGACAGCTGCGCAGTGGCGCCCAGGCAGCTGGGTGGGGGCGGGGAGCTGCCAGCCCGCCAACCCCCAGACCTGGGAGGGGAAGGCCCCTTCAGTTAGCCCAGAGGGAGAGAAAGAACTGGGGCGATCCGGTAGGTAAAGGAGGAAACCCCAATTCGTCTTGTACCTTTGGGGAGCCTCTTCTGCATGAAGGTTTAAAGGGAGATTTTCTCTTCCCTCCCTCAAACAGAAGAACACATATGTAAATCCTTGTTTTTCCTGGTGAGGCAGGAGAGGCCATAGCCACAATGCTTAATGCATGCTTCTAGCATGGGGCTGGTTTTAACCCTAGCGCCCTGACCCAAACTGCTCCGCTCCCGGAAATTCCAAGGTGAGTGGGGTGGGGGTGGGGTGCTCTCCCTGGAATATGCCATTTCCTGTCTCTGCTGAGGTTGGAGGCTGGTGGTATTTCAAATAAACCAAATCAGCTCTGTTTTCTTGAAGCTCCAGCTCTCTCTCATTTAAATACACGGAGAAATTATTTTTAAACGCCCTACCTACGTTCTGCCCCAGCCCCTCTTCCAAATAAACCGTTTTAATGAAAATTGTTGAATCCCAGGTCAGTAATAAGGGTTCGTTGAGTTTTGGTAGTTCCCCACTATATTTTGTGGGGGAGTCAGTTTGTGAATTTGAAATACACAGAAAAATGCAACTTTTTTTTCCACTTGATTTGAATGTAATTCGAGATTGATCGTTGCTCTCTCTGGGAGTAGTCTTCTGGTTAGGGACATTTTAGGACATGCTGAAAAAATCTTCAACGATGACAGCAAAATAAAAATGAGGTTTAGCTTAAGAAAACAAATCCTGCTACTTTATAATCTAGCCTGTAGGCACCATTTAACATGGCTAAGGAAGAATTGTCAAAGGTGATTATGATAACAACAGCATGGTACTTTAAAAAACTAGCTTCTCGCTTGAGTGCCCCTGGTGTGCATATTTCTGGGTTTAACTCAGTCCCCATTTGTGTTCCCCTGCTTCTCCTTGAGCCTGTGAATGGCCCCTCTGTATTTTGAGGCTTCATGTTGATGCTGAGTCTGGGACCTGACTTCTTTTTCTTCCTCCTCTTCCTTTGCTCCAGAGTCAACTGCAGCTGAAAAAAAGTTGAGGTACCCTTACTGTTTGGGTTAGTTGAGTCTTGGGAATTAACTGAACAGTCAAGTGGCTAATTTTGGATTTTAGGACTAAAATTTTGACTCTTGCCACCCCTGCCCCACAAGGGAGCTGGCTAAAGGTTTCGTGTGTCTGAGGTGTCAGCTTGCCTTTGCGAGCTGATGGATACTCTATGAAGGAGCAAGCTCAATTTGTTTAAATGAATGTACCCAGTCACTGAAAACGTGGCGAAAGATGCCTGAGCAGGCTTGGATTTTTGTTTTTCTTTTAATGCTACCATTCAAGATGCTCAGAGCAGAGCAAAAGTTCTATTTTAGCTGTTCTATTCTAATTCTTTTAATTGAAGATCTTCCACATTTTTCCTTGAGTGCCTGGCTTGTTGAAAATAGTTTTTTAAAGTAGCCAGGAGTTTACACCCCACGCTGTTTGTCTTTTAGATTATGAAATGAAGAAGCAAGTTCATAAGTTTTATCTTTTTTAATGAAGGGAAAGTTGCGGATGGGAAAGTAGAACCCGACCCAATTTTTAAATTAAATTCTTAGGGCTTGTTGGTAGAATGGTCCAGGAGTGAAAAGAGGCTGCATGGCAACTTTGTGTCCTTGTACCTGCTATCCCCATCCGGAAGGGACATCTTCTTCTAACAGGAATTCTAATCATGTCCTTCCCATTTGCAGGAACCCGCTGGCTTAGTTCTTCAGGTGGGACAGTGAGACATGGGAAAGAAAACCAAGCGGACAGCCGACAGTTCTTCTTCAGAGGATGAGGAGGAGTATGTCGTGGAGAAGGTGCTAGACAGGCGTGTGGTTAAGGGCCAAGTGGAATATCTTCTGAAGTGGAAAGGCTTTTCTGAGTAAGTGCCCTCTCTCAGACTTTGTGACTCTGCAGGAGTTGACACATTTGGTTCCTTCCCGAAAAGCCACTGCCATCCTTGTCTTTCTCCTTCCCTTCCCTGCATCCTTTTCTCGTTGCTCTGGTGGAGCTGGCCTGCTTCTGAAAGGCAGTGTAATGAGTGGGCTAGGCATACAGGTTGCCTGGGTAGATAGGTGTTCCACACTTAAAATACAAGCTGCACACAGCACCTTCCCAAAATGACTTAATCATTTCACCTCCTCTACAAAAGCTAGGGATAAAACCTAGTACTTCCTCCATAGGGTTTTCGGGTAGACAGACAGAACCTGACCCACAAAGAGCTGGTATAAGTGTTATCTGTTATTAGTATTCTTTTCGATGCACCTAAACTAAGATGTATACGTTGAGTAAAATAAATCACTTTCACTGTCCAGCAGTTTCAGAAGTGCTGCCAGAAGAACCACCGCCTTAGGGAGAGAGTTAGATCTGAGGCCTCAGCTCTCTCTCTCTCTCTCTCTCTCTCTCTCTCTCACACACACACACACACACACACACACACACACACACACTTTCTTGGGGGATGGGGGGCATTTTTCTAAAACAAAGGCCTAAGTGAAAGGAATTTGCATTAAATACTCAATATACACCACCTAATTTAAACTTTTTCTAACTTTAAGACTTGTTTTTATTAATTACCATGGTGGGAGTAGTCTTTAAACTTTAAAAGCCACATAACACGCTAGTGTGTAGTGAATGTGCATCTGTAACAGAGAAATTGCCATTTCAGCATTACTTCATATGCACAATACCATGGCACTATTACTGTGTTCATGTCTTGCAGCCATCACCCATAACAGAAGGTCACAGAGACCTAGTGGCATAGCTGCTTACCCATTGAGCTGTTAACCACAAGGGCAGCAGTTTGAACGAAGAGGAGAAAGATGAGACTTCAACTTCTGTAAAGATGTAGTGCTTCAGATACCCTTGGGGGCAGTTCCCCTGTGCTGGAAGGGCCTTTTATGAGTCAGTGGCAATGAGGGATGGGTACAGAAACTTAGTAGTATCTCCTAAATAACGGAATCCCCTTTTCCTGCTGACTCAGGCCCATCCCTGGTAACCATTCATAACCTTGGGTCTATATATGTTT